GGGAGTCGCAACCGTGAAAAACGAGCCGGCAAACTGAAGAAATCGCAAGCAACACGCCGGTTGCGACACTCTGCCCTGCGCCTGTTGTTGGTGAAAACTGAAAATAGCAGGCCGGGTGGACGGGATCTTTCTAAGTGTGCTGTCCTTTGGGTCGGGTGCTGCTCATTGCGTTTTTAGCGCAGCTCTATGGTGAGCAACACTAAGTCAACCTGTTGTGTACCGAGCATAGCGTGTATTCAGCGAAGGAAACGTACTTTCTGCAATGACATCTCGAGTAGAACAAGCGGGAAAAAGTCAGGTTTTCTTTTCATCGTTCCGTGGAAAATTTCACGACTTTTTCGAAGCGTTAACGACAAGCCTACGCCCACTAGGACTGAAAAGGTTAAGCCGAAAAGAATAAACCAAACCCGAAAAGGTTTAGCCGAAAAGGACAAGACGAAAAGGTTGAGCCAAAAGCGTCAAACCGAAAAGGTTCAGCCGAGAAGATTAAACCAAATCCGAACAAGTGAAACCGGAAAGGATAAGCCGAAAGGTTCAACCGAAAAAACGAAAACGTGAAGCCGAAAAGGTTAAACCGAAGCAACGTTGTCGATGACTTGTGCAGCCTGTAAGAAGAGGATTGGAGCATGGGTTACCGTAGTCATCGGGGTCTTGGCATACTGTGGGGTCGCTTTTTTAAATGTTTCGAGCTTCGGACTTTTTTGGCACAGGTGTGCGAAGACCCCGATATGTGCCAAGTTCGCGAAACCTGTGCAGAAACGCAGAAAATATTTTGGTTCTAAGAAACAACGCACACCCCTGTGCCAAGACCCCGATATGTGCGGTGCTGTTTAAATCCAAAGCGGCTGGTACGGCGACTTTCGAACGCACACCCCTCTGCCAAGACCCCGATATGTGCGATCCTAACATTGAACACCACAGGGGATAGCAGCACTTCGCGTGTATGGTATTGCTGCAACACGATCACAACACAATCAACAGACAAGCTAGTAGCTGCACACACAAACGAGTCTCGGGGAATTGCCACCACAACAGTTCCGTGGCGGAGAAATACCGGCGGAAAATCGGGAAAATGCCCGGGACGGAGCTGCGGGCTCGACCACACGCAACGCGCGGCTACGATGTCGGAGGGTGCAAGCGCGGGACCTGCCGACGCCTCACAGGCCTCACAGGCTAGTGCCGACGGTCCTCTGCGGATCAGGGAGCTGCCGCTGCGGACCCGAAGGCAACCGGCGAGGCTATCGATGAGATGCTAGCCGCCGACGACCCCGTCAAAAACAGCAACGGCAAACGCGCGTACCCGGAGCCCAACTTCCCGATCGAGCGGTCGGGAGCAGTGAGAGAGAAAGGGAGCTACCCCATCGGGTTCAAACTTAACGCGGCGGCCTACACACGGGAGATCTGCCCGTGCGACGGTCAACCGGTGGGAAACAACAGCGCGGCGAAAGTTCTCCAGGTGCCTCGGAAGCGTATCATCGAGTGGCTGAAGCAGGAGGAGCAGCTCAGGGAGAAGGTCAGCGCCAACCTCAAGCTTTCGAAGGCCAAGCAGGTTCACGGCGGAGGGAAAGCTTCGACAGTCGACGCCGAACAAGCCCTTGGGGGCTACATCAACGAGCAGCGCAAGCAGCACCGCGGTTGTTGTAATCGGGAGGTGATGAACAAGCTGCTCGAGCTGAAGCCTGACGCCCTTGGCGGGATGCCGGCGAACGCGAAACCGGAGGAGGCGCTGGCTTGCAAGGTCAAATTCAACAACTGGTAGCAACGGTTCCGCAAGCGGAATGGGTTCAGCATCCGCCGGCGTACCAGCGTGGGCCAGAAACTACCGAAGAGGTACGAGGGTATGGCGTGGGCGACGGTGATGAAGCTGCGCGAGGCTCTCGTAAAGCGCGCCGGTGAGGTCTACGCTCGGCGCCACCCGCCGGCACCTGACGAGAGCCCCATCAAAGGGAAGGATCTGAGTTCCGAGCAGCTGACGTCTGTGGAGGCGGAGGTTTTCGAGGAACTCGGCAACATGGACCATACGCCAGTCTAGCACGAGATGCCGGTGGAGACCACTTTGGAGAAGACCGGTGCGAAGGATGCTCGCATCAGCACAGGAGGTGAGAGCGAGCTAATATTTTTGTCAAAATTTTGTGTGGTGTGCGGATTTTTTGTCGTTGGACAATTTTTTAAGACACATGTTTTTTTATTGCGTGCCGGTACACGGTGCGNCCCCCCCCCTCCCCTCGCGTTGATTTTTCCCCCTCCCCTCAGGCAAAGAGAAGGAACGCTTCACGCTCGTTCTGGCTGTCATGGCGGACAGCAAAAAGGTTTCGCCGCGCATCATCTTCAAGGGCACGCCGTTCATCCCCCCGACCGTGAGCGGCAAGGGCAAGAGCACCCTGCCGCGGAAGAACTCCGTCGCGTGAGAGATCCATCCTGCGAACCGCGCCAAGCACGGCCACCCTTCCAACGGCATGTCCTTTGGCGTGCAGGAGAAGAGCTGGAGTGACCAGCGGGAGTGCAACGGGTGGATCTCGGGCAGCTGGAAGTTCCGTCCCAACAACGGTAGCATCGTCCAGCAGCGCCCGTGCATCCTGGTGCTGGACGACTTCAAGTGCCGCAAGGACGAGGGTTTCATCGCCGCCCTCAAGAGAGACGCCAACACCATTGCCATCTTCATCCCAGGCGGGTTGACGCCCTTGCTCCAACCGCTCGACCGCGTGCTCAACAAGCAGATGAAGCGGATGCTACGGGGCAAGTACACCGCCTACAGCGCGTCGGCGGTCGCAGACGCCCGGTCGGGGAAGCTGAAGCCACCGGAGCGTGGGGTCGTCTCTACGTGGTGCACGGAAGCGTGGGAGTCCATCATCCCCGAGACGGTGAAGACTTGCTTCAAAATCTGCGGTCTCACCCTCGCGCTCGACGGCAGGGAAGACCACGCCTGGCGCGAGCACAACTTCGGGGAAGACTACCGCGACCTTCTCGAGGAGCAGCACGCCGTGTGGCTCGCTGAGCACCCTGACGCGACTCTCCCGCCGCTCAAGCTGCCGGAGGTACCAGGGGGGTTCGACTTCAACCCCATCACGGGTGCTCAGAAGGAGGTCGAAGAGAAGCTGATGCCCTACGTCGCTGATGAGAGCGCCAGCGAGGTGGAGGTCTTGGAGGGCGACAGCGACGTGGAAGTCGTGGAGGGGCAGGGGGGCGGGGGCGCCGAAGGAGAAGTATTTGGTCGAACTTTGAATCATAGTTCTTTGGGATTGCCAGTGAGATTGGATGTTTTTGCGATGGTAGGGGCGCGGGCACGAAGTAGAGTTCAACCCGCCTAGGAAGTACAGTAGTAGGACGTTGGTAGCTCGTAGTGGTAATTTGGTGTGATTCTTTACTTCGTTTTTGGTTTCATCTGCGTTTAGAATTGTTGAGTGGATGCCGTTTGCCGACTTGCCGATCTTGATTCTTCAGAACGAAAAGAAGAGCACAAAGAGTACAAATACCACATTTTTGAACATCGTCATGGTGCCAAGGGCAGCAGTAGCAGTGGAGCACGCGATTCAAGCTCCCATAGTATCCGGAATTTCCAGCACAAGATGCTGGTGAAATGGTATCACTAACCGCCAACAGTGTGCGGAGACGACGATACCTGTGCGATAATCTAGCAAATCATTCGGAACCCGCTTTTTGTCCGCACACCCTGTGCCAAGACCCCGACATGTGCCGAGACCCCGATATGTGCCAAGACCCCGATGATTGCGGTACTTCAGGTTATCAACCGAAAAGGGCCAAAAAGGAGAAGCCGAAAGGGTACGCTGAAAACGTAAAACCGAAAGGATATAAACCGAAAGGGATAGCCGAAAAGGGTACGCCGAAAACGTGAAACCGAAAAGGTTGAGCCGAAAAGATTATACCGAAACCGAAAAGGTTGAGCCGAAAAGGTATATTACCGAAAAGGATAACCCGAAAATGTGAAGCTGAAAACGTGAAACCGAAAACGATAAGCCGGGGAGGTTCGACCGCAACAACCGAAAACGTGAAATCGAAAAGTTAAGAGGTTTTATTCACGGAAGCCAATTTCTTCGTTTTAAAACCCCGAACGGTGAAAAGAAAACCTGACTTTTTTCCGCTTGTTCTTTTCGTGATGTCATCGCAAAAAGTAGGTACGTTCCCTTCGCTGAATACACGCTATGCTCGGTACACAACAGGTTGACTTAGTGTTGCTCACCATAGAGCAGCGGTAAAAACGCAATGAGCAGCACCCGACCCAAAGGACAGCACACTTAGAAAGATCCCGTCCACCCGGCCTGCTATTTTCGTTTTCACCAACAACAGGCGCAGGGCAGAGTGTCGCAACCGGCGTGTTGCTTGCGATTTCTTCAGTTTGCCGGCTCGTTTTTCACGGTTGCGACTCCCATCTTTGACCACCACCTGCCCAAAGGTAGACGAGCTCATCAATCACAGGACGGTAGCGGCGCTGACGGCCAGCATTGTATAGATGACCACTCCGAAAGAAATAGCGTGTCGGAGGCCCTGTTGCTCCAGTCTTCTGCTGCGTGGTGCCGTGGAGTGATGTTGACGTGTCCGACCAAAAACACATCATCTCGCCGGATTGTTTTTCCAACGGTATTTCGGTTGGTGGGGTGGCACAAGTCTCTCACACACCTTCTTGAGCAGCATCCAAGCCCCCAATACCCACGAAGCAGCACGGCGCCGGGAGTGAGTATCACATAGACAGCCGAACCGAAGGAATCAGCGCGTCGGAGGTCTTGGCGCTGCTGCTGTACTCGTTCCACTGTTTCCGTGTTTGCGATGTGTGATTAAAAAATATTCTCCAGCACCAACAGCAGCAGTTGAAGACGAGAGCACCACGCAATGTATCGTTTTGGACCAACAACGGACTGAACGCGGCTTCTGCCGCTTGTCCATATCGGACCTGGACGTGAGTTTGGCCGGTCTTGCTAGCGTTCTCAGTGATGTTACAGCGCCCGCAGTGCGCCTGCCCGACCCTTTGTGTCAAATTCCCGGATTCGTGAAGGCAGCAAGCCCCCGAAAACCCTGCTCGCTACTTTCCAGATCGGGGAAGAAACGCCTTCATGTATTTGCAAGAAAACACGCTTCCGAGGAATTTTCCGTGTTTTTTTCGCCTTTAATACTAGCCCTAAGTCGACAAGCACCGAAAGGATTAAGCCGAAAAGATTAAACCGAATCAACGTTGTTGATGACTTGTGCTGCTGCCTGTATGGAGAGGATTGCGGCATGGGTTACTTCAGGTTATAACGGAAAAGGACCACAAAGGAGAAGCCGAAAAGGATAAGCCGAAATCGTGAAATCGAAAAGGATAACCGAAAGGGATAGCCGAAAAGGGCAACCCGAAAACGTGAAACCGACTACGTGAAACCGAAAAGGTTGAGCCGAAAACGCGATGCCGAAAACGTGATGCCGAAAACGTGATGCCGAAAACGTGAAACCGAAAACGTGAAACCGAAAAGCATAAGCCCAAAAGGTTCAACCGAAAAAATGAAAACGTGATACCGAAAAGGTTAAATCGACAAGGACCGGAAAGTTTAAACCGAAACGATTAACCCGAACCCGAAAAGGTTGAGCCAAAATGGGTGAGCCGAAAAGGATAAGCCGAAGACGTGAAAAAAACCGAAAAGGTTAAACCGAAGCAACATCGTTAATGTTGTTAACGATTTATATTGCTGCCTGTATGGAGAGGATTGCGACATGGGTTACTTCAGGTTGGTACTTCTACGCAGCCTTGCGCGCTGGCTCGAAGCATGCTCAGTGCTTGCAGTCACCGACCCTGTGTGACTAGGTGCAGGGTTTTTCATGCAATACTCAGTCGGTGCCCAAACGTTGGATACCATTTTTCGGAGCCCCTGAATTTTGGACGCATTTGTCATACAGACTTAAATATTTAAAAAAAAACACCCACTCCTTCCCCTAACGTCGGGATAGTTTTGACACCAAACCAAGTAGGCAATGTATTGAGTGCGGTATTTGGTGCGGAACAAATGTCGTACGCTCGCTCTAAAGCAGCTTGTGGAATGCCCGTTACGCTTGCGCGCATTTCCGACAATTTCCGAAGGGTAGTGCTCGGCCTCCTAGTAGGGCAGAAGCAAGCTATTTTCGTCTCGGTCTTGTACTTCACATTCCATGAAGATGTTTTTAGTTCCCTTCCGCTGCCTCTGTTCAGTCTCGCGGGTAGTTTCGGCCAAATCGTTCACAGTCTTCTATTCTGCTTGCCCCGCCCTCTACATCTGGTTTCCTCCCGGCGAAAAAGGTTGTTGGTCTAACCCTTGACCATGTCTGCGTGTGCTTTTACTTCTCAATTACCAGCGTGGTGCCGTTCCTGGTATCTCTCCCGTGGTACATTACCGGTTGGGCCTTCTTGCTGCCCCTGCTCGTCGGTTTGAGCCACGTCATTCCCTTCGTGCTGCTGCGAGACTTGCAGCTGCTTCACGGCACGGGCAGCAGTCGAAGACTGCAGCCGTCGGGCGAGGAACGTGAAGAACGTTCTCAGGCCGCCGCCCCGACCCCGACTTTCGGGGCGCCGCCGTCTCCTGAGTCCCCCTGGAGTCCCACCGGATCGCGCTTCGATGAGGGGGAGGAGGGGGAAGTAGAAGAGAGGAGGCAAGATCCGGAGTACGGGGAGGAGCAAAGGGCCGGCGAGACGAGCTGAGCTGACCGTGTCGGGGCCAGGGCTTGGTGCTCTTGCCATGTGGTTTTTTTGTTTGTACTTCATCGTTTTACGTTTTGTTTTGTGGATGAAGAATTCGTGGACGTGAGCACTGCGCGTTCTCGAGGCTTGTTGTTTTGTCGATCGTTATGGCCTTCACGACATCTTTGGTGTGTGTGATGTGTTGTTTCCGTGTGTGTTTCTCCTCACACACGTTGCTTGCGGTTTGTGTGAATTCTACGGCGGTATTATTGTTTTGCTTGTGTCCGGGTTTGCTGCCCGCAAGATATTCGGCAACTTTGAAGGCTCTACAAGCGCGAATTCATTCCGCACGTTCAATGCGGTAGTGCGACCCGTTGAAACTCAAAACCGCTGAATAATAAATGTGGGGCATACACGAGAGGGGCGCCGCAAGCTACATCCCGTATTTGGTTACGCCGCTGCGTGCGTACGTGATGACCACACCATGTATGAAACTTCCTTCTGTGTGTGGTGCTGTGTTGTGTGGTCGCGGAACGGTTAGTCTTACCGTACCCGCTATCGTTCGAGGTCGTTGAGTTGTTTTGTCTCTTTACCTGCTGTTTCACGGCATCGAAGATTTCCACAGGTGTAGACTAGTAGCACTAGCTCTAGCTCCTTGAGAACTA